CCTCGTGCCCTGACAGGGCAAGGATTCCACAGCCAAAGAAGGTACAATTCCTATTTCACTGCAAAGCATTACCCTGAGCAGCATGTAATGTATGTACTCCTGTGGGCTGGGGGTCTGCAGGATGTTGCGGGGACAGTGTGCCAGTTCTGTGGCACAGCAAATCCACTTGGGTGACAGGAAGCTCCTTCGGAGAGGAAGGCAAAGCAAAAAAGGATGTGATTTATCCAGGACTTGCTGATTAGGAATACATTGCTGCTTTTGTTAAGTACGGTAATTATCTGGTGTTCCGGCTCTTGCTAGCCTTTTTTTCATTTTTTCTTTTTTTTTTAAATTTCTGCAACTAATTTCTTCCTAACAAGATAAGTACTTTTTTTGGTGCAGTCACATACGTCATCTGTAAGTTAAACAGGATGCCTGTTTCTCCTGGATACACCAGGAATATAGCTTGCTTTCTGAAGGTGATGTTTTGCCAGCGGCTTTCTGCCGAAGCTGGAAGTGATGAGTGATGCTGTCTGTACTCCTCCTTTCTCCCAAGTAGCTGCCTGTTTTTGAATTCCACAAGTTAATACGTGTTAATGATGACATGTGACAGAGGAAATGCCTCAGGATAGCGCCGAATAATTTGAATAGTCTGGAATTTAACCTCAATTTGGGAAGGATTCGATTCTCTCTTCATGTTCCAGACAGATAACTATAAGCAATCTTTCATCTTTTTAGTGCCCAGTTTCCTTTTGGTGGTGTTAATCAAGTAAGACCATTACCATATCAAGATCGGAAAGAAATTAATGATGTGCGTTTGCTTTGACATGGTTTAATCAACCTTAATTAGATTCGATCCAGAGTTTTTCAGATGCATGGATTTATTTATTTATTTTTTTTTAAAGATGATGGCTGCTTAGCATCATGTCTTAATTTGGTGTTTGTCTAAAGAGGTCGCCCTGTGCAGCACAGGTGTTGTAGGACATCGTTGTCAGGGACTCTGACTTAGGTGTGTGCTGTTTACCTATCCAAAGGGCTTAATTTTTTCTCATACCTCTTGCCTCGGGTTTGGTTTTTTTTTTTCCCCTTGATGCTGTTGTCAGACTGTTCACAAACTGTGACTCCTGCAGCTGTTACTGGAAGACTGTTCCAAAAGCTCTGTTCTTTGGTTATTATAAACCACCTTTAGTTTCTAGCCTCATTTTCCCCTGGGGTCAGTTTTTAATTGACCTTATGCCAACTCTTTAGTTTGCCTTGCACCACTATTTTTTTTTTTTTCTCTTCTCCGTGGTCCTCTCCCTAAGGGCCCTTTGGAGGCTGTTTGTCATGGTAAGGGGAAGAGTATTGGCTGTTCTTGTAGGGAGGATGAAGAGGGGGAAAGGAGTGGGTCATCTGGTACTTGCAGGGCTGGACAGTAGGCGGGTTTGATAACTGGGGCATTGTGTCATAGGGCAGCACAGATTTTTAAAGACAAGGCACGGCAGCTTGTTAAAAACATCCTAGCAAAACCACTGGGAGGTGTCATATCTGGCTAGGCTTAGTTTTACAGGATTAAGTAAATAAAAGTTCTCTTAGTCACCTCCAGTTTCTCCAAAAGCACTGCTAATCCGTTTTCCTGTTAATTTTAGATATTTCTGCAAGCAGTGTAGTCAGTTAAGACAGTTACCAAACAGCACTGCCCTCTGTGCTGCAGAAATGTCTGTGGGGCTGTGGTACAGATTGGATCTGGTAGCTGATCTGGGTCAGTGTGGTTGAACTGAGCAGTTGGCTTCATCTTGCTTCAGCACTGCACAGCTGAATTTATTAGCAACATTTGAAATAAGGGATTTATGCTTAACATAAGCACATATGTTTTCTGTGAGGCTTGTGATGCCTGATTTGTTCAAGTATGATCGGTGACTTTTTCATAAAAGCATCACACTGTGGCTCATAGTTGTCCAGTGACCGTTTAAAACCTGCAGAACATTTTCCTCCCTGTTTCTGTAGCAGAGCTTTTTGGTCCTCTTAACTTAATCATCTCTCTAGTCTTTAATGCCATCAGTGTTTTTTTGAAATGCCAGTTCTATGTGCTGGTAATGCCTCTTAATTTTGCATTTAAAATTGTACTTTAATTTTAGGTAACAATTAACTTGCTTCTAGTTGTGAAGAGATCTCCCACGATTTTTGTCTTGAAAGAAAAAAAATTGCAAAGAGAAAATGCCAAATTAATTTGCCTTCTACCCATAGAGAGTCAGTGTTGCATTTTAACCCTGTTTTCATTGTCTTCTGAATTTTTCCTTCACAGTGCTTTCTAAAGCCTTACACAAGTGAAACTAAGTGGGCAGTTGCTTAACCAAATATTAGTCATATCCTTTTTCTTTAGAAAGTTTTGTGTTTAATGCCCGTTTGAAGTACGTGAACAATCTTTGTGGATCAGGAGAACCGCAAAATACTTGTGTGGTTTATCTGTTGCACAAAATTCTGAGACAAGTTTGGATGCTTGTTTTGAAGCCCTGCAAGAGTTGGATCAGGTGCAAAGGACTGAATTATCCTCCTTTATCTCCATCTGGCTCTGTTTGGGGGTGATGGGACTACTAATCTAATCTTCTCAAGGAATCCTATGAAGCTGTTTAATGTCATACTAGTTTTGGGGAAAATATACTTTATAGAATAAAGTAGTTTAGAATAAGCTGGTACATTTTTTTTTTTTCTGGTTGCTGTATCTTGCCTCTGCAAGCTTTAACATTTGTTTGCTTTACTAGTTTGTGGGTGGACAGGCGTAATCTCTGTTCCCACTCTCTACTGCCAAATCTGCCAGAGTTTAAAATACCGTCCTGTGCTCACATCTGAGCCAGGTTAAATCTGAACTTGTGGTTGACCTGGTGCACACTGTTGGCATTTATGGTCATGTTTCTCTGGCCTCAGATAGTTTGGTGACTACAAACTGAAGTTCTGGATGTTTCATCTGAATTGTGTGCTAGCTTACAGATTCAATTAGATCACTGATCACCATACCCACCTCACAGAGTGGGATAACTAAACAGAGGTTGGCACTGTCTTCCATGATCATCTTTTAGAAATTTGCCAAAGAAAAATGTTGCCATCTATCATAACTGCTATTTCAGTTAAGATGAGGGCATCACCTTGTTAAAAGTGCGAAGTTGAGATTTATGACTTTAGGATGTGATTGCTGTGTGTTTTGGATCAAAGTTGTTAATAATGCCTGCATTTAGATAATTCACAAACTTCTTTTAAATGGACAAATTTAGTCACTGTGTTCACCAGCAAGATCTAAATTTATTGAGAAGCTGCTTCCATGCCTTGTCGTGGTGATGTTGACAGTATAAATATAATTTCCTTCCAGCCCCATGCTGTCCTCAAAGGGCATGGGAGGAATGTTGGCCAGTTTGTCATTAACGTGTATACTGTCTTGCCAAGGGCCCGTATTGCTGAGCTGCGTGGCTTACAAATAACTATTATCTTATTCTTCCTTCCTTTTCCCCTTCAACAGGAAAAACCTAAATGAAGACAACTTATAAAGAGCAGATGTTGCAAAGAGGAGGAAAATGCATCATATTTTGAATTGAGGAAGTAGCTGTTGCTCTAGCTGCGCTCTTTAATTGTATACAAGTATATAAACACTGTTTGCATGTGGCTTAGGGTTTGTTTGTTTGTTTTTCTTGCACACAGTAGCTGACATACTGAAGTGGGAGACTTGTTGGAGTTGAGTATAAAATGGCAGAAGTAATATTGACAGGTGCACATTAGCCAGGCAAAGGCTGGGTTCACAAGTGATGGTTGCTTTGTGGCCTGTGCAAAATAGAATGGATTCCTCTTAGGTAGTGGAGAGTAATCTGACCAACTTCTTTAGTTTATAGCTGTGCAGTGTCATTAAATGGTTGAAAAAAACATTCTTTCCTCCAATATTGCTGGACCTTTTATTAGTCCTCCAGCTGACCTTGTACTTCCTACTCCAGGGTGAAGTGAACATGTTTGTCATTCTGCTTTTTGTCAGATTGGTTAATCACGATCTTTCTTTTTATTTTTATAGAGCAAATTCGGTTAAAGAATATAAGAAACGTATATGGAAGATGTTTGTGGTATCGTTTGCGACTGTTAAAACCACAGCAAAACATAATTCCGACAGTGAAGTAAGTATATTTCATTTGCATGACTTTTCATTAAAGCATTTCCTACATTTTCTTTTTTATAAAAATACATTTTTTGTAATCAAAGCATCTGAAATTACTTATATAATAATGGCTTTTTTGTCATAGAAGAGGCATTTGCCATCTGCTGTATTTGAATGTTTAATAGTTAATCATTATTGTCTAGTAGGGCTTGAAATCAAGATGGATGCTGTTTGTCCTTTATAAAATATCTGCTAAATGAATCCAGCGAACCTCCACACTAATAAATCAGTAAACAATGCATTTGTTTGTTCCAAAAAATAATCCTTCCTCACTGAAATTAGTAGTGCTAGCAATGTCTTTTGATTTAAATATTTGATATGTAAACATCTATATACAACAGTAATAATTTGTATGTTTGAAGTTGATGGTTTTATATCCTCCAGTTCTTGGTTTATTACTCCCACCCTCAAAATATTTTGCTGTTTGTTACATATCTGTTTCAGCTTTTTGTTTTTTTAACATTGACTTTGTAAAGTCATCCTTTAAAAATAGGAGATACTATTATATACTTGCTGAGAACAGACAGTTAAAGAATGGAGAGTCTTTCTTGATAGTGGCTTCCCTTTGTTTAAAAAAAAAAAAAAAGAAAAGAGAAATTAATTTGAAATCAGAGCAGCTGTGTCAAAGGTGGTGTTATAACTGAAATACTCATGCCTACTTTAAAATGGCTTTAAAGTTTCTTGCTATTTTGATGTTGCTTCTTGAAGAGTGAAATCAAATGCCTTCTTATGTTGTTTGTAGAATTATCCTAGAACTAGTGGATTTGTACATTTAAAACATTCTTTCTTCCGAACAGGAAGATAGTCCTCCTTGCTGGATGGGCATTATTTTTGTTTCTTGCATACAAAGTTTCCAAAACAGACCGAGAGTATCAAGAATACAACCCTTATGAGGTTTTACATTTGGATCCTGTAAGTAATAGCATCTTTCAGTAGTCTGTACTACTATAACTGCATATTCTGTGTCTAGATGTCAAATTTAAGACTCGATTTTTTAAAAACCAAAATAAGTTAACTTTAATGAATGTATCTAGTGGTTTTGTTCTTTTTTGGCATCTGAAAATTGCTGCTGCATATTGTAAAGTCAGTCGTTAGACATTCTTTGCCTGTATCTGTACAAATTTATAACTTTTGTATCCAAGTCCTTCAGAATTCTAGTCACTTTCTTAGTATAGTGAGGTGGGTTTTTTTTAATCTATTTTGAATCTTACTCTGTTTTCCTCGCTTGCTACAGGAAAACAAAAAAGTCATTCTGCTTTGTATGCCTTGTGAAAATCTTCTCAATAGCCATTTTTAGGGATGCTACTGAATAAACAGCATACACAAGAATGTGGATTCATTTAGTTTAGAGTTGTGCAGCAGTGTTCGCCTTGTAAATTAGAGGTTTTGCTAAAGGGTATTAGTGATGCAGATTTTGATGTAAAGGTTACCTTGAATCTCAGTTGCATCTGTGAATGCAAACAACAAATTCTAAGTGGTGATACCAGCCAGTTGGTTTATTAAACTGAAAAAAAAAACCCAAACAAATGTAGTGTTTATCTAGAAAACAGATGCAGTGCTTTTATTTATATTGAAGATCTGATTCAAAATGGATATGAAAAGTTATGTATCCCAAGGAGACAAATAGACCTTCTGGACATCTCTTAAGCTCTCGCTTAGTCTTGTCAAACTCTTTTCTTCATCGTAACCACAATATCTTGAACAAATTCTCTGCTTATGGTAATTATTTCCTGATACAGAGCTCCTCTTTTGAATAACAGTAGAGTCATCTTTTCAGTTCTGACTTCTGAGGTATGTTTTACTCTCCAGTCTAAGCAAGTATATTCAGCACAAAAATATGGAAGAATTTTGAATGTACCTGTTTTGATTAAACGTGATGCATATTGTTAGTGTGGGAGAGCTTAATATGTACAAGAACATTAACAAATACATCTCTTGCCATTAGTGATGTGGCTTGTCAGCGTAAGGATAGGCATCACTGCTAAGAAGCCATTATAGCAGATAAGTAGACTCCAGCCTGTTTCTAGCTAGACAGGTAGAACAAGACCTGCCTGTCAAATGTGGAGGCAAGTTATTTAAATTCAACCTCTGCTCAGTTCCTTTGTGAGTGACTGATTGCTGACTTGTGTTCTCTCACTGACGCACAGGAACAAGATAAATTATTACTGCTGAACGGTATCTGTTGGAACTGTGCAGTTTAAATGTTGATATATCTGGATTAACTTTGGTTAAACAAATCAGGCTGGGGATTAGATTGTCAGAAGATTTTCTTTTGTTGTCTTGGGCAAATTTCTTCAAGTAATAACCCTAAGAGGAAAAAAGTATGTATGTTGGAATGTAACTTAATGTTCATTAACAAAAACTTGTACACACGCTCAAGACACATGCGACAAAGAAACCAATACTGGAATGCTCCATGAACTGATATAAGGATGGAGCATATTGTCATAGGGACAAGCTGAATTAAAGACAGAGGTGTTACAAGGGGGATGAGATGGGTATGAAGATGGATCAGTTGAAGTAGGGCTCAAAATAAGAGTCTAAGATTCCAGAGCATGTTTGTTTTCTGTATTTCTGTGCTATCAGGTGATGTCTATAATATCTCCTTGAAAAACTTCTAGTTCAGACTACATGAAAGTTAACAGCTTGCTTCTGTTACCATTCAAGTGGAACCTTTAGAGTTGTTGCCAGCCCTGCTCATTTTGAAGTGATACAGCTGTTGAAGTGTTGTTGCTGTTAAAAAAAAATAAAATCAAAAAATCCAAACTTGGGGGGGAAAAAAAAAGGTTGCAGATGCAAGCACTTGAAAGCTTTGGTACTCAATAATTAATTTCCTTTGCATTAACACTGTGGCCAAGTTTATTTTTTGTATCTTAGGTTAGCATATCAGCTTGTAACAAGATGCTTTCTCCAGAGGAGAACCGCAATGTGGACAATGTCCACATAACTTACATGCAGCTTACTTTATATGTAATACTAGCACTCCGTTTTGAGCATAGAATAGTTATTTTTGGAGCACATTACTTAAGTTCACTAATACATAAGGCACTCAGATATTATTAATGATTTATTGAATAAGTTTTCTTACTGCCATTTTACAGGTGGGATCCGAGGCATAAAGACAAAGCGCAAAACTGATTGTGATTTTGGATTCTTTAATTAAGACAATTGTGGCCTTAATTTTTTTGTAAGTAGTTAATATAGGGAAGCTCTGTGTTCCAAGCAGAGCACTGACTGACGCCAGCTGTCCTAGACTACTAAGCATTAAGTCAGGCCTAACTTCTGTAGCCTAGCTTTTGAAAATTAGGAGTAAGCAATTAATGATAGGTATAAAGTTTGTTATCGGGGATCACATGCACCCTCTGTGACAGAGAGAAAAAAAATAGGGTTTTTTATGGGCAGCGTTCGTGTGAGCCATGAAAACCCATCTCTTCCAGAAACCAGTTGTTTTTTTTTCCCCTCCATTTTCCAGCTTCTGCTGCTCATCTGGCATTCTTTGTCTGGTCTTGAAATGTCTGTTTTTACTTGAAGTGTAATTTATTATGGAGTAAATTCATCCCATGCATTAGATGAGGCAGGCATGCTGTTGAAAAATAGTGTTGGAAAATGATAGACGCATTGTATAGAGAAAGATAAAATAACAGCAAATGAAGCCTCAGTGAAGTTTAATTTCTGGTTTAAATTTATCGATGCAGTACCATCATCTTTAAATATCTTGTGTGTTTATTATGCAGTTAAGGTCAGTGTGCTAGGCCTTTCTACCACAAAATGTTGAAAAATCCTATGGTAATGGTTCTGTGAAACTTAGCAGGTAGCTTACTAGAAAAACTTTATCTGCGCTTACTATAAAGTTTTGTGGGTTTTTTTGACTAGTGAGGTTCGCAGTCCAAACTGAAAGTTAATGCACAGGGGGTTGTGTTGGTGGAATTTAACAACAGTAGTGGAATAAAAATTGATCTCTTTCTCAGGTACAGGTAATGTATTCCCTTTGTTCAAGAAATTTGAAATAATTTATGGGTAGGATGATTCTAGCCAAAGGCGTTCTTAAGCAACAAGGCAATCCACTGTTCCTGGTGACTGACAGATTTATTTCTGCCTGCAAGCGAACCATCATACTTGATCTATGAACTTTTGCTGAAGTAGAAGAATATTGCAAGTGAGAGTTCCTCATATTCATGAATATGTTTAGGAAAAGATAAGATTTGTCAAGCAGATGTGAGTGCCTTACATTTTTTTTTCCTGTGGATGGATGAACAAGGTAATCCAAGAAAAAAAGCAATACTCAGTCATCTGAATGTCTTTTTGTTAGTCTGTGACTTCTAACTTGGTTTAAAAATACAATGGTTATAAAAATGTTACTAGAAACATAATATAATTGTGTTTCCATGAAATACATATGTAGTTTCATGATTATATATTAGAACATAATTCTTTAGTTCAGTGAATGGTTCAGAGGAATATTGCACAGTGTGCTTTAGAATACAGATATAGAACAATGGATTTGATTCAAGGTATTTATTAATAACCTCAAAACTTTCCTTTTTAAGGGAGCAAGTATATCGGAAATTAAGAAACAGTACCGTGCACTATCACTAAAATACCATCCAGATAAAGGAGGAGATGAAGTTATGTTCATGAGGATTGCTAAGGCCTATGCGGCGTAAGTTTCTTTTTTGCCTATTAAAAAATGAGAACTTGGTTATGATGGGGAGGGAAGCCTTTAAGGTAATAGCAGGGATGACCTAAGCAGACAGGAAAAATGTGTTAGGATATGTAGCAAAACTCAAAACTTGTCTTGGTTCAATGCGTATTTGCTCTGTACAAGTTAGGAAGGATAATTTAATTGTTTAGCAACTGTCAGAATACTGTAAGGTGTTAGGTCTTTGTATTAAACTTCCAAGTCAGCGAGGAAAAGTGTTTCTGGTATGATACATACCAAATCTTAAAGATGACAAAGAACAAAATGAGTGTTGTGGTTTTTAACCAACCAACCCTGTCACAGCAATTCTGAAGCATTGCTTAGAAAATAAATATGCTGTTCATTTCATCTGGTGATAAAGCCAAAGAGTAAGAGACAGTATTTTAACTCTGATCCCATCTAGGAGCAAAAGTGTTTCATTCTGGTTATGACTCAGTTTTCTCTCAGCTTCCCCGCATCCCTCTTCATTTGCGCTTGCCTTGCAGTCCTGATTTCTCACTTAGTAACTGTTTCATGTTACCTATGTAGTTCTTAAAAGCAAAATCCTCGAATCCTATTGTCCTCCAGGGTATTTTTTGGCCATACCTCTGCTTACAGCTTTTTTTTTTAATATGAGAGATGATGTCTAATATTAGAATTCAGTATAAAGGAAATCCCTTTTTGTTGAATTTTTCTGTGATCAACATGTGGGTTTGGGTTTTGTAATGCTGTTCATACAGGGGGTATTAATACAGCTTTGTATTCTTTTCTGCTGTAAATCGTCATCTGTCAGAGTCCAATAATCTCTGACCAGGTTCTTTTAGATATTCCACGTGTGAAACATGTAATGTTTAATATCAAATTTGCTTGTCTGAATACAGTTGGCGTTACATGCACTTTCTGATTCAGCTGAGTGAAACATTTGTGGTTTTATCGTGTTTTGTAAATTAGACAGCGAAATACAGGAATTTCAATACAAAGTTCAATCACAATACTAATGTGATTCCCATTACTGGTCCCTCTAACACACTCAACTGTCACAATGCTGGGTGTCCCCAGGCGCCAGGAAGGCACGTGTGGGTTGAAGTCAGCTCAAGCCTGTTGTTCTTTCCAAGATTGTTTTGCTAGTTGTCTAGTGTTTATACTCTATGTTGGGTGGAGCCAGGTATGCGCTTCCCCCATGCTGGTCTCGCAAACTTGAGGAGACATTGATACTTTTTTAATGCACCGGAGAAGAAATGTTGACACCACCAGTTGATCAGCTCAACTGTTGGATAGGTGTTTCTCTAAAACAAAGGTCACCCTCCTGTCGCCTTTGTGTTGAGACAGTGCCAGCTTCTTTGCAGCAGCTGTGGTGGGTGACAGTGGTCAGTCTGAGATTCATGGCACATCACACTTGCCCATCCCTTCTGAGCCTACTTCCCTTGTAGGGGTTTATTGGTTCACTCACAGCATCAGAGAATCTAGCAAGGTGGTGATTTCTGCTTTTAGGTCAGTTGTCTGTGTGGTTGACCTTACTGACTGTTTGAGAGCCCTGTTTAGGGTGAGGTGAGGAGAATCAACACCATTGCTCACTTGGGCGGTTTTGAAATCATACTTTCTGCTTAAATGCATCTGTATCGCCATGAAAGTCTCTTCAATAGGATATTCTGGTGTTGCTTTCTGAACTCCTGAAACATCTCACTGCTTTGCAGGCTAGCACTCAAATGCTTGGTGATACAGTATGATACTTCAAATGCCAGTGCAAGAGCTGTGGCAGAGGCATATCTTGAAGTAAATGACTGTGAAGTTCCTTGGCCGTGCTGTCTTGAAAGAACATAAAAGCCACCCATTCAATGAGTCTGCTTGTTAACAAATGTGAGACTTGGAAATGATCAGGAGATGTCTGACTCATTCACTGGGTTTCTTCCATGAGACAAAATCTACTGTGTAGTGAATGCCTGGTGTTCTGTGTCCTAAAGCAGTATTCTTCCTTCTTGTAACAGGGATTCCGTTTGAGGTGGTATATTGTTGCCAAGAAACTGTCGTTACAGAACAGGCGTAGAAACTATAAGATTTAGGATGTGGTGTCTTAATTTATTTCTCTCTCCTTTAAATAAAAAACTAGGGAGTTCCAGGAAAAAAAAAAAAAAACAAACAAAAAACCAAAAAAACCCAACCAACCAAAACCAGAAGACAACCACACAGACACATGCCATCAAGGTTAAAAGTCTAGAATAAGAGAATTAAAAGCCCATATGGAAAACATCTGCTGTTTCAACTCATCTTACATATATCCAACTTCCTTCCAAAACAAACAGGCTTTTAACCTTTGTTGTCTTTCAAAGTTTGCTGTACTGTAGTCTGGCATTGAGAAGTGCTCTTTGCTAATGGGTATACAGGCCCTCTTGTGAAAGGGAGATGCAATTGTTCCATCGCCTGTAAGAGGGTGCACCTTCTATGTCTGATGTCTTTTGCTGGCAGAGTGCTAAAAGAATGCGGCTGTGTATCATGAAGGAATACAGCAGTATTGTTTTGAATCAGATTTCATACAAACAATAGCAGAAGCTGTTCAGCTTGCCAAACCATCTCTGAAGGACAGCATAAATGCCACATTTTAAAGTTTCTGTATGTTAATGATTTACAGAAATTTCTTTACTTCTGTATTAACTTAATATCTCTTCTTGAAACTAGCTTAACTGATGAAGAATCACGAAAAAACTGGGAAGAATTTGGTAATCCAGATGGACCACAAGGTAACAATTACGAATGACAGAAGTCCTGTAATTTCTGTACGTTGAGATGTGTGATATCTGATTATTTGGGAAGCACTCAGGTCTTAATATGTATAGAATAATTTTTTTATGTATTTGTCTATCCTATGATTTGAAACAATGCATCCAATCAATTCTTTGCTTGTGAAACTGGCTCTGGGGTGGGAGTGGGAAGGAAAGGCAGGAAAGAGTTTGCTTTCACATTTCTGAAACTTCTTATTAGGGGAAAAAAAAAAAGAGAAGGGTGTTTTTTTAATTAGTCAGCTTCGATATGTATCTAGAGAGACTTTCCAAGATTAAAAGGAGGTATAAGCAAAAAAAATAGAATAATACTCATCAGAAACTTGTCAATTTTAAACATTTCTTAGTATTTATGATCAGATGCTATAAATGTATATTGAAAAATTAAGAACTAGCCGTAATGCAATAAACACACTTCAAAGGGAAGTGTGTGAGGGTATGAATATATTTAAATAAATACTGATACACATCTGCCTTCCATTTGCTGGAAGCAGTACTGTTTGAGTGTACCTCTATGCCACCTTCATCCTGAGGAGTCCTGGTGTTTATCCCTATGCTGGTAGATTGTTCCTGGGCAGGTAGCTACATGAAATTAATCCTGATGATGGCGTATTAAAGTTTTATAGTAGATGATCCAAACTAAAACAATTTAAGACTGAAAGTTAATAGACATTTTTCCCCTCCTATTTACAGTTGCATGGGTTGCTTGTAAAATACCTTTGTGACGGTGGTTTAAGTGGACTAGTTGTGAGGAAGAACACTGTGTATTTCTAGCTGCTTCTGATACTTGTTACAAGCAAAAAGGAAACTTTCTGTATGTTAGGGCAGACCTCCTCTGCTTGTTGATGCCCTGCAGTTTGCAGGACTAAGTTATACTATGCATTCCATCTACATGGAATGAGTTAAGGCCAGCTTGGAAGTAATAAGTGGAATTTGTAACTTAATTGTGAAGTTACAGGATTACGTGAGGGAACTCTGTGCTGGAAATTCTTCTTCTGAATTCTGCCCATCCAACATGGGAAATTAATTTTAAAAGGGAAAAAAACCTCCAGCCCCTGAACCAGTGTTTCAAGGAAACAATCTTCAAATAAACAACTGTGCCAACTAAATCATAGTCTGACAAAGGCATTTCTGATGGACTAAGGTGGTGGTTCAGTTTCTTTAATGACTATGTTTTATAGCATAGCAAATTTCTTTGAGCTCCTAGCTTCTCTTGGTTTCCTAGCCAGGCAAGTAGGAGGACTCTGTCCCTCTTGCTGTGAAAATACAAATAAGATCTTGCTTCAGAAGTCTGTCACAAAATCAGCAAAATGGTACTGTAAATTTTGGTCTGGTGTATGCAGGAATAGCTTTCCTAGGACCTTTCCTGATGCTAAACTGTTTTTTGCATCCACAAGCTCTACTAACTTAGTGTTGCCAAGGCATAGGATTTCAAGTTAGACAGTATGTCAGTGTCCTTGAACGGACCTGAAGCTGTGACTTCAAAAGAAAACTCAAACAAAAGCTGAGAATTTAAAGGCATGAAGATCCTTATGTAGTTGGCTCAGAGATCGCATTCACAAACTTAAGGGACTCTGGATTCCTGAAGGGCAAAATGAAATGATTCAGCAGCTCATACTGTGAGTGTGAAGCTTCCTGCTCTTCTGAAACCCTGACTCAGGCTACAGGGATATTGGAATTCTCTGCTTTGCTTCTGGGTCTCTCATCGTTCCACATTAGGTTAGATTCCACATCAACATAAGGAAAAACTTTTTCACTGTGAGGGTTACAGAGCACTGGAACAGGCTGCCCAGAGAGGTTGTGGGGTCTCCTTTTTTGGAGACACTCAAAACCCGCCTGGACGCGTTCCTGTGTGATCTACTCTAGGTGGTCCTGCTCTGGCAGGGGGGGTTGGACTAGGTGATCTTTCGAGGTCCCTTCCAACCCCTAACATTCTGTGATTGTTGCTTCATTTGAAGGGTGGGAAGAAGCCTGAAACTTTCTCTCTCCCATCCTCTGTTCTGTAATCTCGTTCCACATTGAAGTGTGAGGAGCTTTTTAATTTAGTGAAATTCATCTTCTCTTCATTTATATATCTGTAGTGTAAAAATGTGTATCCAAGCTATGTACTCTGTTTTTTTAGTTTTGTGGGGTCAAAGAATGGAGACGGTCCCTTATATAGAGGTATGTTCTGGGATGAGATGAAGCACATCTGATGTTAGACATGCCTAACTTGGTTAGACGAGGTACGTGCCACCCTCTGTGCACAGCACAAAGGAACAAAGTGGCATTCCTCTCTATCCAACTGAAGGACTGTGGAGGTTAGACGAAGGCAAACAAAATTTTTGTGTCTTTGGCATGACTTGCTCATGTACTAAAAATAAAATACTGAAGGTTCAAAATAATTTGAAGAATGTTTAAAAGCAGGTGAGAGGACCTAGAGAGTAAAAAGATACACTTCTAATAACATAAGACAGTTTTAGTGGACTATTTCCCCTTGGTATTTGCCAGTGCTTCAGCTCAGCGAGCATGGATGGGGGCAAGGAGACTCTCAGACCAGAAGAGAAAGAGCTTTGTACCAAACTATTTCTGTTCCTGGAACAGTTTGAAGCTGCAATCCTAAAGGGCAAAAATGTTGTGGAAAACTGAAATTGATGCCACCGGTAAAAGACACATTACATTTTTAGTAGATTCTTCGTGACCATTAACAGGTAGGGAAGTGTCTCCAGGCTCTTCTCCAGAGCAGGGCATTTCCTATAACTTAATATGGTAAAATAACTGGATGTTATTCTGTTGAACTCCTAGGCTTGAGGTATGGTCAGGTTGGTGAGATGTTTAATTTGAGTCTCAACAAATAGTAGTGTCCAACGTAACTACATAGAAGTCATGTTAGGCTTGTGCATAACAACTGGTTTTCTGAACTGATGGCTGTCACAATCTGTTGGAGACAGTATCAGAATAGCATCGTAAGTACGTAGGGGATCCTAGTCTGTTCGTATCTGAGGCAGTACTCCTCATTGACACTTGATAGTACTAAAGAAAGCATGGTTTTTTAGTTGTTTTTTTTTTTTAAGCAGGCCCTAGAAATCTGTAAAGTCTTCCTCTTCCCTCCACTGCCCCCCCCCCGCCCCACCCCTTGTAGAGCTTTTAGTGTTGGGATAGGCAGCATTTGTGAAGTTCAACTTATTACTGCTAAAGTGTCTGAAGACAAGCTATTTTATGCTATTCTGTATTCAGATCTGTGTACTGTAGGTATTACTGTTAGAGAATCATGTCTTCTGCAGCATAACTCCTTTTGAATTGAAGTGTTCCTTTCTTACTGATCGGACAGAAATTTGAACTGACAGAGGGTTTTGATTTTACAATTTACAGCTTAGAACAGCTTCCTAAAGTTACAAACTAATAAAACTTTTTTCCATAGAATTCATTTTGCTCGAACAGTTTTCTTGCAGTTCATGTATTTACTGAACTATATGTATTTAAATGGTTGAAAACTCTGCAAGGCAAAGCTCATAAATCTTTCCATCTGTGAAATCTTTCTTTTTTTAATATATTAATAAATCTTGCATATCGATTTCACTGCAATATGTTAAGCTAAAGTCTGTGGTATTTCAGATGCTGTGTTTAAGTCTTGTTATTTGGTTGCATACTTGAGTGTATTTCTAATCTGTGTTTTGATTTTGCCATTTTGTTAGACTTTTTCTTACTGAAGTGATAAATGTGAGGATTTTTTCGTGCGTTTGTGGTTTTATTGGGTTGTTTTGTTTGTTTGTTAGATTTAATGTGACTTTTAAATCAATTTGTTAATATTTTACAGTGAATTTCTTTTCTTTCATCCTACAGCCACAAGCTTCGGTATAGCTTTGCCAGCTTGGATTGTGGATCAGAAAAATTCAATTTTGGTGAGTCAACTTACTTGGCTCAAGATTATAAGGTGAACTTTCAAGTGTTTACTTAAAATGTTTGTGCTTAATGCTGTGCATCTTAGTCAAAATACCTAGTTTATAATGGTTTGGTCCAATGCACATGTTTGAAGCAAATTTCAGGAGTCAAAACTGTTGAGTAGCTTAAATCTAACCTTTGAGAGTAAACTGTTAATATACTTGGAAGGATCTCATTGCAGTGGTAATGAGGTTGTGCTGTGGTTACCCCTGCTACAAAGTACGTGTTTGCTGTTGCAAGGAAAAACACATAGAACTGATTGCTGGATTTCTGTGGTTCCTTTTGGTTTGCTAGCGATGCCGTAATCGTACAGTATCTAAATGTTCTTTCTGTTGCTTTTGTTGCTGCAAGGTATTTGGTTTACTGGCTTGACTTTTTTTTTTGATGTGGTAATCATCTCTGTTCATTGCCTCACAGTTTAGCTGCCAGCTCTTTTTAATTATTAAAGAAACCCACGTGAGACAATGCGCGGATGATTTAAAAGATTATGTACACTAGATACTCCTTATTTAAACCCTACCCAACTGATTGTATTACTTGCAAGTTGTTCTTCAGAAGTAATGACAGATATTATGCAATAATCTTACATGAATTTGTAGTAGGCTTGTGGTAATACTACTTGATTGTGTTTCAGAATAAAGATTAAACAAAAGTGGTATTAAGTAACTGAACTATCTCATGCAATACACTTCTTAATTTTTCTCTAGGTTTTGCTTGTATACGGATTAGCATTTATGGTTATTCTTCCAGTTGTTGTGGTAAGTATTATCTAAGTAGTATTCTACCCTCTGTAACCAAGCTGTAAACAAAGCTTAGACATAAGTAGAGTTGCTCATTCTTGCCTTTCATGGAGAGAGCAAGCAAGCGAGCTTTTTAAATTTTTTTTTTTTTTTAATGTGGATATTTTCTTTTATTATGGAAAAAGCGTAGCTGCTGTAGAGTTTCCCAAAAAATGCAGTGCCGTGCTAGAGAGAGGGCTATAGGGAAAATCTTAGATATCACAAGAGTTAGACTGAGTTATGTAATTTGTCTTCTACCTTCTGTCATTCCTCACATGAAAATTAATATGAGGCAATGAACTTGAGTATATTCAGGGGTGTTAATGTAGAGCCAAGACAGAGATGTCTGCAGCTGGTGGTACTGGAAGGAATACTGCATGTTGTTGATTTGGTTTCTCCTGGCTGTCTTTGTTTTCATAACTTCAGTTTTTACTGATCTTCTGTACACCATGAGATGTCTGCCCTTGAGATTTCTTTGTGTGAGGAATCAGTTGCTAGGGGAGGGCTCTTGCAGGGCTCGAGTTTGCCCTACAGTATTGCTTTTGAACAATGTCCCTTAACTAGTGACTGTGCATTTGGGGTATGGCATGAAGAAAGACTCAGAAAATTGACACCCAGAAACCTTCATGCTCCTGGGAAGATGACTTTCACTTGAGAAAGCATCCTGGGGTCCTGGCAACTGCTTGCATCTTGGTGTGCAGAGGCTTAGCCAGGCATTATTCCTTTTCTTTGAAAGTCTTTCTGCATAATTGGAGATTTACTGTAGAAGTTTAGACATGGCAATTTCAACAAGTTGTTGAATAAGAAGTCTGAAGTCCAGTGTACATTGTCTACATAGTTTTCCTGTCTTTCCTTTTAAAGTTTCAGTTGGTGTCTGTTGATGCTTTTTTGTATACGTGTACTTTTAGTGACTTATACCGGGTTTATTGTAGCTCAAGTGAAAGTAAACGTCCTTTCAGTTGTTACAAAGAAAGTCCTGAGCAGAGGAAAAAAAAAAAATCTGCCTCTTCTTGCCCCTGTACCGGATGTAGACTTCTGCATTCAGACTTGTCACTGTAAATTTCTTTTATAGTTAGTAAAGAAGAATAGTCATTTTTATGGAGCAAGTTATTTTATCATTTCATTCTAAAGTAGACATACAAGATGATTCATGCCTTTAATGGGCCTGTTTCTCTTTTATGAATCAATAAAGAAGCTGAAGTTAACTACAGTGTAGTCATCCTGTGTCTGTGATAGGCATCTAAAATAAAGTAAGACTAGATCCACCCTTTGAATCCAGATCAACTAAAAAGGAAAATACCGATACGTAGTTCTTCCTAGACCCCCACTGACCTAAATAGTGTTCTGTACATGAGACGAGAGAGATGAGCTGTATCTGCAAAATAAGTTAGGGCAGCCTCTTTCATGTAGATTGGGAGTGGCTATAGTTACATTTTTCTTCCAGTACCTATACTTAAGTGTTTGTATAGCTATGGGATTATAATGAAATTTTTCTGCAGAAAAACGTCAAAAAAAAGTTTTATACTATTTTGTGTCAGGATTCATCTATTCATGGGAGAATAAAACATAATTTATTTTTTTTTTTAAAAAAAAAAAGGAAGGAAAATGTTTGTGGGGAGCCAGTCACGGAGCATTTCCCAAATAATTAAATTGCTCTTGCTCTCATAGGGGAATGTACGCAATTGCCTGGTAAAACTTACTACTTTATTGCTTGTTACTTTTTACCTGTGATAAACTTTACAGTAGATTGAAATGTATCTTCGATGTTTTTTCTCGTGTTAGTGAGCTTTGCTTACAGGGAGGTGTTTAATGAACAGACTGCAGTTTATAACCCAGTATACCATTTTTCTTAAAATATATTGTACAATCACTGTACAATGAGTTCCGTAATTTGAAGTCACTGGTGTAAAGCTAATGAAGTAATTATTGGAGTGTTTCTGAAGGTTTGGAAGACTTCTGCCAACCTGAAGGTATATGGCTTAAATCTGAAAATTTGCAGTAAGGGCACTGGTCCACCTCCAGATTCCTCTTGTGAAAAGCATTTTGTGGTTAAGTGACTTAAATTATTTTTTGTGAGTTTTCTTCTAGTGAAAGAAATCTCTTATTTTCTTGGTTTGGCCTTGGTCTGCCTAAACTGGATTTGGTTTGAATTCTGTTTTGTGTAGTAATGTGGTATTTACTGTTTAGTGGATTCACTAAAACGACACCGAAAATAAACAAAGCAATATATATGTGTATGTGGGCGTGCATGTGTTGGGGGAAATTCTGTAGGCTAGAGGTCATCTAAAAACTTTTAGCATAGGATTCTCTCAGGTGAATATTTTTTTGTTTCCCTCTCTTCTGAAATTCAGTTGACCTTAACATAGGTAAAATCAGTTGGGCTGAGTTACCTGGTTGAGAACAGACACGAGGTGATCCAGCATAGCTGTTTTGATCCTTCATCATAGCTGATGTCAGTTTGTTCCTGTTAAATGTCTCAGGGTTCCTGGTGGTACCGATCAATACGATATAGTGGAGATCAGATTCTCATTCGGACAACTCAAATATATACATATTTTGTCTATAAAACACGGAACATGGACATGAAACGTGAGTAAAAGACATCTTGAAGTGTTGATGTGTTCATCTGGAAATGTCTGTCTGCTGATGTGAAAATGCTTCTGCTTTATAAGCCTTTGTTAGGTTAAAATAATGTTTCTGGTTCTTTCATAGTGTTTTTAAAAACCTCGTTTTGTTGCAGGTGCAGAGTGTTCTGTAAGAAGACTTCAGTATTTGGGAGAGGGAGTTATATAGATCTATGTTTATGCCTGTTTATCAATACAGTTAAAAAAAAAAAAAAAGAAAAATATACTGTGTGTTGGGGAGAGACATGCTGACCTGCCTAGTCCTGGGTTACTATGTGGCCACTAGAAGCACAGCCTTCTACCTGTGTGTTTTCTTCTGTTAGTGCAACAGAATAGGGTTTGGGAATTTTCTAGGGGCTGTAATAAAATTTTTATATCACGAAGAATGAAGTAGCACTTCTGGTTCTCTATTCTTACTTGTTATGTTATAGCTAAATTTCTGTTTAAAAATTTTGCTCCATATCAATTTCATGTTACTTTGTTACTTGTTTATAGTTTTTGATATACTTATTTTTCTTGTCTGCTCACTTTTAAAGGAATAGAAAAACCCTTTTCTGGGGAAATCTGTAGATGTTGATGCAGAATTGGATCTTTCAGTTTGGAGCCTGGTATGGGCCTGAAGAATTAGCATGGTACTAATTAGTCTGGATTGGATTTTACTAGTTTGCATGCTCAGGGCAATCGAAAAGCAGAATAAAACCCCCCCACAAAAGCCACTAAAAAGGGTTCATAAATATATGCTCTTAGTCCTTTGAATTGCACTGTTCAGCTTTAGATTTGCTGGAAGATTGCTGGGAACATCTACTCTTGATACATCCCTTTCCTACTGAACAGAAGTGCTTTGCAGATAATCCAGGAGGTCTAGGAGATAAGAGTATGGATGTACATTTGCTTTCTAGTCACAGCACACATGGATTTATGTGTGTGGGATTAATTCAGACCAGTTTATGCTTTCCACCTTGTCATACTTTTATGCTTTTTCCCCCTCTCCAAACAGCTGAGAAGGGAGGAGTGGGAGAGTAGGTGAGACCTATCTTAGAAATTTAGAGAGATCACTGCAAACCTCTTCTCCTCTTTCTCCAAACTTCTTGTCAACAGTAGATTATTTCATGTTGAGCTCTGCACAGAACCATAGCTTTGAGGCTTGCCTTGTCTCTCCTACAGATTGATTAAAAAGTTAACCGTAAATTGAAGTGGCCTTTTTTAAGGACTTAACGCTTTCAGGGAGCCCTGGGGTCAGAGGCAGGTCAGTGTTTTCCACTGAGGTCTGTGTGCAATCTGAATGAAAAATGTGGTGCAGCTGAGGTGGCTTAGACACACAGTGATCAGGTAAGGCTTTTGCTTGGTTGTGAATTCCACAGTGGTGAGGTTACCAGTGCCAAAACCTGAAGGCTTATGCCTGGGCAAATGTAATCAAAGTGGGCTAGGGAAATGGTGAGGCGAATCTGCATGACTTGCCTTGTTTCAGGTATTTTTAGGCTTCAAGGATGAATGAGTTTTTTTTAAACTTCCTTTCCTGGAGATCCACAGCTGTTAACATTAGACAATAGGGAAGTACTTATAGCGGTCTGAAACTATTTGATGTGCTCTGCTCAGGAAGTAAATAGATAATCGAGAATGGAAATGAAGTGATGCTCAGGGAACTTGACTAATTGTTAGTAGGTGGAATTAATTCACGGAGCACTGCGAGTAGGCAAAAATAACTTTGACTTGCTCAGAAGAGAACTTGTTAAAAATTTAAGAATGAAGCTTGAGTAAATATTGCTGAAAAAGTTATTTTAACTGGAGGAAATGATGGGGTGAGCTTTCTCTTATTGTCTATGGCTGAGGGAGTCTCAGCCATATATGTATGTTCATGAGCATAAAGGTCATAATGGGGCTAAAACACCCCATTGTGTGTGTCTTTCATCTTGATTACACAACAGGAATTTTGAGATAGTATGGATTTTCCTGATCACATTAGGAAAAGAGCAGCCCATCATCTTCACGGGATTTGTTTGCAGGGGTATTTATCGATCTGCTTTTCTAATAATTAACAGAAATCGGTTTTGTAAATTTTCAATGCTGACTGAACCAAAAATTGAGTTGAAATTTTATCCTTCCCACCTCCCCCTCCAGGACACACGTTGTGGTGCCGCTGCAGGCACATGAATTGCAGAGAGGACTGGTTCTGTGACCGCGCAGAAGTAGTCAAACTGCTGTGCAGTGATGTTTTCCAATCCTAAAGAACCTAACTATGTTTTTGTGAAGATGTTTAGAGTCAAGTGCTGGACTTGATGTCAGGCAAAATGGAGCCTGGAGTACTCTCTTTTGTCTTGTGCTAGGCATTGGTTCTTGCCTCCTTTGCCCTGTGACAGTAGCAACTGATCCACTAAACAGAGAACATGGATATTCATGGTGGTTAGGGGGAGAGTGGGAGTGAGCTTTATGGCTGAGGGTTCTGAAGAAGTCACTCAGTGGCATGGGATCTTGCTGACATTTTCTCTGTCTGCCTCCAATTATCTTTGCAGGGCTTATCATGGTTTTGGCAGGGGCATCCGAATTTGATCCTCAGTACAATAAAGATGCTACGAGCAGACCAGCAGACAACATTCAGATACCCCAGGTTAGTTATATCAAGAGGTGTTTTATAAATAAGTGACCCCTTCAAGGGAAGAGAGGGGTGGTGCTTCTAGGTGACCCGCTGACAGAATTCGAGTTCTCAAGGCATTAATTTTGTTGAGATGCACCTGAATCTCCTCAGAAGTAGAAATTAGAAGTTAGACTTGATTTATTTTTTTAAAAAGAAAAGATAACATTAACTGATGATGATGCTTGGCTTAAATGGAATTGGTTTAGTATATAGACTTGCAGGGTGGTTTTTGGGGAGGGGTGAACTAAATATGGAATTAGAGTGTCAGTCAAATTTTGAGTATCAGTATGAGAAGGTGATTGCTATTTGATAAAGTTCTTTTAAATCATTAACACAGATCTGGTTAAATATATTAATACTGAAATAAAATTATTATCTGATGTTGGAATTAGTAATATCTTTAAATACTATAAAGATTCCTCCATGAATGTTAGTTCCCCTCTCGTTGCCTTTTATTTTTGTTTCCACTCAGTCTCCCCAACAGAGATGCTGTAATGCATACTGTGGCAAATAATTATTGCTAGCAGAGTTTTGGGAAGTCTTATTTATCAGAAACTAACACTTTGGTTTGAAGAAGTTTAAAAGCACAGTGTACAAAATGCTCCAACGAAAATGTTTTGAGTTTGCAAAGTGAGGGGAGGTAGTCTCACAGATTTAACCTTTGCGTGCACACAATTGGATTTTCAAGTCATAAACATACTATCACGACCTAAACATAAAACAAATAGACTAAGGTACCTCTTTACTTAATTGTACCTGTCTCTCTCACAAATTGTCATCTTACGGACTTCTGAGAAGGAGCTGGAATTGTGGTTAGGTGTGGTTTTTCATCAGACATTGTGCTTGGGAGCACATGACTGGGAAAGATCATCTTTATCATCAGTTCTTCTCCTACCCAGTTCTTCTCCTTGCTGTTGCAAGCATTGGCATCGTGCAAGCCCTTTACATTTAATCATTATTTATTTAAAAGGCAGTCAAACCTCCTGTAACCATATCCTACTGAGAAGCTGTTCTAGAACTTGCTGTTCTAGTGGTTAGGAGTCTTGTTTGTGACCAATTTATATCTGTGTTTTTTGTCATCATTATTCTTGAGTCTAAATGATTCTTGCTGTGTGTATCCTTAGTGCATTTATAGATGGAAGCAATAGCCTGTTTGTTCTTGTTTTGCTTCATTTTGCTAAACTAGAAAAGCTGCTGTCTTTTAATCCCCTCTTTCCCAAAAAGCTCTTCATTTCCCTCATCCTGCTATGTGCTGAATAGAGTACTGTCCCCAGTTGATAGATTTCTAAATTTCAAATTATTTCCTATTTTGTCTGCTCAGAATTGTCCGCAGTATTCCATATAAGTCTTAGCAGTGCCTCAGTTGGTGGCACTGCAATTCCTGTATTTCTGCAGGGAATAACTTCAGCACACTTTTTTCTGCAGCTGTTTCATATGGTGGTTAAAGACAACTAGTGTGGGATCCCTGTTTTGCAGATTTCTCTTGTCTTACATACCCTGGTTTTCCAGCTGCAAGCTTCCATCCTCGAGCTGCAATTCTTGTTAGTAAGCAAGTGCATGACCTTGCATTTTATACTATTGGATTTTGTTCAGTTTCCTAAAGCTGCGGTCATCACTGTCATCTGTGTTCTTTTTAGTATTATGGCAGTACAAGTCTCCAAAGCATCAATACACCATGGTATTGCCAATATTTTTTTGTTAGCATGTCCTGCTTTTTGGGCCATGGTCATTGTTCCCATTTTTATTTCACTGTTCTATTAAATCCGGTATCAATACTTTTTATAGAAGTTTTCTTATCAAAGTTTTAGTTGTCTTGGTCTGGTGTTACACGAGAATGTGCTTATAAGGAACTTGGTGTTAGAAGATCTTTTTTC